ACCCTAGTTATATCTTCATTAACAATTGGAATCACAGAGAATGCCAGTGTTGTATAACAATTAGAATATCAGACTACTGTCTTGCACCCTAACCTACCTCACAGGATTGTTGTGAACAGGGAGGGAACCATGTACATATCCTGTTCTTTGAAGAAGGGGCAGAATCTGATAGGTCAATTGGAAAGCCTTTGCCAATTAGAATAGACAGTCCTAGACTAGGTAGACCAGTGGCCTGACTTTGAATAAGGCAGCTCTGTCTATATGTTTTAATTTTAGTGTTTGGAAAATATAGGCCAGAGTACCTCTTTGATGACAGGCAGTGAGGTAAGCCCTGATATCTCCTTTTAGTCCACTTCCTGCTCTCTTTGATTTCCAAGGTAGTAATTCCTCCTTTTGACAAAACCCTCCTCTGTTCCTTTATACATCAAATACAATAAGGACTGTACTCAACAAAGAACAGTTGATCAGTATCAAAGAAACTAATGGGTTTTCCTTGTTGAGCCCGACAGGTGTGTTGCGCGTCTGCTGTTTGCATATGGCGTGGGCTGAGAAGGGGGAAAGGAACAAGGACTGGCAGTGAATCGTCCATCTTCCTTACAGAGAAGCCAGCCAAAAAGCTCATGCTGTGCCTCTACTATGTGAATAACAAATGAGGGGTTGCAGTACGATTAACCAGAATAAACAAAAAGTACTGCAAGGTGTGCAAGCATGTAATAATAATTATTCAAGAACTAGTAAGTATGAGTATGAATATCCGTCAATACAAGAGGATTCAACGATTTTCACAATTCATTCCTGCAGTCGGAACCAGCCCGCAGTTGGAACCAGCCCGCATTCTGTATTATGTTCTGAAGCGTATCAGGAATGAATACTACTCCTTTTTGTGAAAATCGTTGAATCCTCTTGGAAATTCTATGAACCAATGAAGACACATCTTGATGAATTTTGATGTTAGAAGAAGTTCTCACGAAACGGAAGATACTCCGGAGAATTTCATCCATCACCTGTAACAACACAAAATATTTGTTGTATTACTGTAATTGTGCACTTTTGTATTGATGGATATTCATACTCATACTTACTAGTTCTTGAATAATTATTATTACATGCTTGCACACCTTGCAGTACTTTTTGTTTATTCTGGTGCCTCTAATATACACATTTAACTAACTCTGCAGCCTTTTACTGACCCATCCTTACCTTGCAAATTGAGCTTCAAATATTTACCAGTTCCCTCCCACACACACATACTTACATTAGGTGTTTGTGGGTCAAATATCAAAGAAAGAGAAACAGCACACTTTTAGGTCACAAACAGTACAATCCTAAAAACACATTCCTGGGAGTAAGTGCCACTGAATAGACCCGAGAAGGATTATGAGAAGACCTGCTTAGAATTGCTCTTAAAATCTCCCTTGCTTGATTCCCTGGAGAGATTGTGATGCATCACAGATGATGACCAGCAAGTGGCTACTGGGGCATTCTGTTCCCACCTTCTCGTTTTGCTTATGGTTTCTTGCTAAACAGTCTCCATCACTCCGTCATAATTCATCCTTTTTTAAATGAATGCTCACTGCATGAGAGTCAAGTGTATAATCCTTGGTTAAGTGTGTGTTTATCCCTCCCTCCCATGTAGTTCATAGTAATACCCCCCCACACACACCAGCTCACGGTAAAGCACTGGCTAGCAGATAAGGTTGCTAGCTCTGGGTTGGGAAATTCCTAGAGGTTTTGAGAGTGAAGTCTGGGGGAGGGGAGGGACCGTAGAGGGATGTAATGCCGCCACTGAGTTCTCCAAAGCAGCTGTTTTCTCCAGGGGAACTGATCTCCTTAGTCTGAATATCCGTTGTCATTATGGAGGTTGACAACTCTAGTGACATATGACCCACACATGACCCACAGCACCTGGGGGAAAACACTAGTCTGTGCCACATCATGATTATGTGTTACATTTATTCCTACTGAGTGTGCTAGCATCTCATACTCATGCGGGGGCCTTGATCAGACTGTGATCAGGGCCTCTCCCTGATAAATAGGGCCCAGTGGGGTCATATCCCTTGCCACTTGCGGCTGCAGTGGAATATTGCATTGTTCAGCAATACTCAGTGTCAGGGCCTTTTCCTCCCTCTTTTTCTTTGGAAGAAGAGGTGCCAGAGCTCTCAAGAGGGAAATGAAGTTTTCAATCTATATACTGAAAACTCATGAATTTTTAAACATTTTTAAAATAATTCTGTCGAAGAGGTTCCGGAACTCCATTCCAGTGTGTTCCTCCAGGAAAAAAGCCCTGCTTAGTGTAAAGCAAGCAAACTAACATCCCAGTAAGTAAAAAAAACAAAAACAAAACTCTAGCATCAGAGTGGCTGATCCGGACTGGGCAAGAACATTTCCTTCCTAATGTGCTAATTTCTTAAAGTGGTTGGGGGGGGGGGGCAGGTAGGGGAGCGTTTAAAAAAAAGCATTCTCTGCCTCACACACACCTGCACTTGTGAAGGGGTACTGGTAGCTCTACCAGTTTTACATCTCACTATGCCACCCGGGTGGATCAGACCAGGCTCATCCCATAGGCTCTGAAATGTGCTTATGTTTTCCTTGGTTACAGCCATGTTTTTTCCTCCAGAATACTGAAACTACAACAGTGGAATGAAGATCTTGGGTTGAAAGATGCTTGGAGTACAGACTGTAGCATGCTATTTGAGGTCCGACCTCCATTTCTTTTGTGCTTTTGTGCATCATAATTAAGAGCAGTGGGCTCCCTGGTGATTGTTTTAGTTCTTGCATCATTTTCAATCACTGAGGATAATTAATAGGGACATCCTGTTCCTTTGCAACAGTCAAAAGAGCTTTGCATAGGGAAGTGTGCCTTGTTTGATGTGCGCTGGGAGCCATTCATATCAAAGTATCATAAATACTGCTTAATTGTGCCAGGGAATGATGACAGCTCATGGTGTTTCAGTGGCTACATTGCCTAGTAACTGCTGGTTCTCAAGCACCTTTTCCACTGGGGCATTGAGACTGCAGCTTTAATAACAGGGACAGTATATTGTATTGTACTTAGGACTGTGCAGCCTTTGGTGCTGATCAGTTGAGCTGGTGTGATCACATGGGATGATCTGAACAGTTTGCTGTCCAGCTTTAGCGAAGGAAGGGGCACTGTCAGTTGGTTGGAGTGAAAACCTCACAGAGGACTGGGTAGAGGTCTTGGGATGGAAGGGAAGTCAAGGGACATGAGGTCCAAAGTCGGTAATAGAGGGCAGAAGTAGGTAGCTGTAGAAAATCAACCTGAAGAGAATTTAAGTGCTGAACGTGAGGCTGAATAAAATGTAGAGAAGACAGTGTTGAAAATAAGCTAGTTAGAGAAGGGAATCTGAAAGAACTTCTCAAATGAGAAGGATCTACGTGCAATGAAGGAATGGGACTATGTGCAATGGAAGAGAAGAGAAAGAAGTTCCAGGGAAGGTGGATAAGAGACAAGATCATTAAACAATGTGGAAAAGAAATGTTTTGACTTGAAAGCAAGTACTTAAGGAAATAGAGCTGGGATCCCCAATATTTTTGAGCCTGTGGGCACCTTTGGAATTCTGACATGACATGGTGGGTGGGCACAGCCACAAAGTGACTGCTGCAAAATGTCTGCTGTAGGAGGCAAAGCAGGCACGCAATGGCTGCTATAGCTTACCTGCATTCAAACAAGATCCTTGTGCCATTGTGACAGGAGCTGCCAGAGCAACTTTTTAAAAATCTGCACAGCCAATTAGAAGCTTCGCCAGGCAAACCCCCTACCTGGCCCTGTCCACTTTCTAAAAATACTTGGCAGGTGCCAGGAGGAAAGATGTTGGTGGGCGCCATGGCGAGGGGCCTGGTGCAGAGATTTTATGGATTTTATAAATATGGCAAGCTGCCTTGAGCTCCATAAGGAACAAAGGTGGCTAATAAATATTTTAAATAAACATTTTAAATAAATAAAAAGAGGCATGAGCCCTTTTCAGTTCATGGCTTTCGCAGGTGTGGCAGACATGCACTTCGGAGAGGGAGTGTGATGGCTGACCCTTCCCCTGATCTGTTTATGCTAACTACACTGTGTGTACACAGTCTCTGGGCACGTAAGCTTGGCAAGGGTCGCCGGGTCTGTCCTGGCCACCGGCAGGGGATGGGGGGGCAGGGTTGCCAGATCCAGATGGGGAAACTCCTGGAGATCTGGGGATGGAGTCTGTGGGTGACAGGGACCTCAGTGGGGTACAATGGCATGGGGTCTACCCTCCAAAGCATCCATTTTTTCCGGGGGAAATGATCTCTGTAGTCTGGAGATGAATTGTAATTCCAGGGGTTCCCCAGGTCCCAACTGGAAGCCGGCATCCCTAGTTGCTTGCCAGTGCAATAGGTAACACTGTTTCATTTTTTTAGGGTTTCTGATCATACACAAGGACTGTACATATGCAGTCCAACAAATTTACATAAGGGTTTGGTGTCTCCTTATGCACCTACACCCCTGTGTTCACTGTAGTCCTTTTTAGATGTTACAGTTAAACATACTCGGAGCTTGTCAACCCTACGCATCAGGAGTATGTGCTACCCAAGGTCCTCCTGATATACGCAGTTGTCATGTTCTCTGAAAGGGTAAAATGGATTTTGCATGCTTCTCTGCATGCTGCATGAGAACCATGTTTTTTCAAGGTTCTGGTTGGTGTGTAGCAAATCTGAAAATCTGTATGTCTGAAAATCTGACAACGTTGTGACTGCATGCATCAGGAGGGTCTATGCCTGCCTTCCAGCCTTCCAGTGTACATGGAGTATATCATAGCACAGCAGAGCCAGTCCAGTTAGTGTGTGTTGACAAGAAACAACGTTATACACGGAGCCTCTTTATTTTTGCAAAACTAATATGAGTCTTTTATTGTAAGAAACTCCATTCTAGACAGGATAGTGTAGAGTTAGGATTCTAATCTTGTCTAACTAGGTTGGCTAGAGATGCAGGAATCATGTCCTGCCCTCATTGTGCCAAGATGGAGAAGGCTAGCATAGAGTGGAGAGAAGGCGTCAGCCAGAAGGAAGGAGGATTCCCTGAAAGTAGCAATCTACACATCAAAGAGATAGTAATCAGAGGGGAAAGGGAAGGATAGTGTCCTGGTCTCCCTATCTCTCTGACTCTCTTATAGACCCCCTCTGAAGTCTGAGGCTAAGAGACAGTGTAAAGTCCTTCACTTCCAAAAGTCTGAAGGCAGCTTGTATGTAGTTGTCATCCTCGACGGAGGAGAAGAAAGTAAGAGTCAAAGAAAAGAACTGCAGATTGGGCTTAGGCTTCTTTACATTTAACTCCCACATTTCATTTTTTGCATCTGCTAGGAACAGCTCTCCCAACTCAGGCGAGGGACATTGCTGACGACTTGAAGAAAGAGTTAGCTTTCCTTTCTGGTGAGTGTGGAAAACTTTTCTCATGTCCCTGCTGCAAAGCCTCTGACTTCTGGTTGTTATTGTGGTTGTTTAAATTCTGTCCTGTGTTCCTGTTGGGGTTGGAGATGATTATGCAGAATGCAAGCATGCGGTGAGCAGCAGTGTAATCAGATGCCTCCCCTTTGGTTATTGTCACAGACTGAGGCACCTGCTTGGCATACAGAAGGCATCAAGTTCAATTTCTGCTTAAAGGATCTTGGATAGGAATTTATCCTGGAGAGGCACTAGCAGAGTGTACAAGTCTAAGCCAGACAGACCTGTGGACAGCTTTATAGGGGCTGTGACTCAGGAATGCTTCGCATACAGAAGCTTAAGATTCGAATCCTGCATGTCTCCACTTCAAGGTCTCTGGGTGCAAGTGCTGAAACTGATCTTTCTCTGCCTGAGACCTTGGAGAGCTGCTGCTGTTCTGAACAGACAGTCCTGCACTAGATAGATCCATGTCCTGATTCAGTATGAGGCAGCTTCTTATGCTCATACGTATAATGTGCTTCTGGTGTTTGCCTGGTTTCTTCTCACATTGCTCGATACCTCTGTTGGTTTTTGGTTTTGTTTTCATTCCCTTTTTGTCCTGTCTAGGTGGGCGAGGGAAGGACAGTGGCTGGATCATAACATTTCCTGAAAATTCCGACTTCAACCAAGTGCCTGAGGAGGTCTTAACGAAAGTGTTAACCTACTTAACTTGGATCCCAAGGTACAGAACTTCCTTCTGGCTTTCAGGCTTAATGCTGAGCAGCAATCACGCGGTTCTATAATCTTAGCCTTTTGCACTGGGGCCAGCTTCCTGGCTGGCGATGAGAACAAGGAAAGTAATGCAGGAGACCGGAGTGCTAACTGGAGCGGTGCTCTTTTTGTGAGCTGAACACGGGGCAGAGTTCATGACGCCCCTAACCTACCCGCTTTGCATAAGTTATGGCATCTGCCTCTTAGCAGCAGATAATACAGCGATATGTAGCAAGCACCAAAGAACATTGGACTGTGGGCATTCCCCCTTCATGTGTTTGGGGAAGGGCAGCCGAGCACTCTTCTTTGTTGTTTTCACTGAGGCCTAGAGTCTTGAGGATAACATTGGAAAATGAAACCAGAGATACTGTGAAAATCTATATTGATGTATTTATTTGCTTCATTTATACCCCACCTCTCTCCCTAATAGACCCCCAAAGTGGCTTGCAACGTTCTTCCCATTTCCATTGCATCCTCACAACACTCCTGTGGGATAGGTTAGACTGAGTATGCATGACTGACCCAAGGTCACCCGGGAAGCTTTCATGGCAAAGTGGGGATTTGAACCTGGGTCCCCCAGCTCCTAGTACAACATTCTTTTTAAAAAGCATGCCAGTAACCTTGGCTGTACCAATAGCAGTTTAGGTTTTCTTTCTTAATTTCATTTGCAAATATTATCAAGCTCTATTTATTTATTTTTATTAAACCACCTATTTATGGTTTATCTAACCATTTATTTATGGTTTAACTCACCCATGCATGAACCCTAAACGGTACATCCACGAAGAAAGAACAGCATAGGTTATCCTGAGGAAAGAAAAACAGTTATGATCCAATTGCTGATACAATCGATCCATTCACCTGTTTAATACTTGCCCAGCAGGTTGAACTGTATTCAAATGCAGAAGTGAGATGCTTAGAAATGTGTTTGGGGGGGGGGGGTAGGTAACAGCTGCTTTGCTTCCTCTTCCCACATTGTCAAAGGAGAATCAATGAAGACGAGCCATATGCTGCTCTGTGCTTCAAAAGTATCTGCCCTGAAGTCCAAGACTAGGTGCCTAAAGGAAAATATTTGGGGTTGGGTATCCACAGGTTCACTATTGCTGTGAGGACTAAATAGAACCTCCATATTCAGAAGCACTATATCTGAGTGTCAGCTGAGAGCAAGCCTGTTGCCCTCCTGATCTGCTGGCTGGCAAGCTGGATTCGGGGGACATATCCTTGTCTTGGTCCAGAAAGTCACGTTTTGTGTTCAGCGATTTACTGTGTTTTCAGTTGGGTAGCCATGTAGGTCTGAAGCAGCAGCACAAAGTTTAAGTGAAGCAGCAGAACAAAACTTTAAGATCAACACGATTTTATTGAAGATGGAAGCTTTCACGTGGAAGTATCTGAAGAAGTGGGCCTTGCACATGAAAGCTCATACCTTGAATTCATTTTTGTTGGTTTTAAAGCTGCCACTGGACTCAAACTTTGTTCTATGTTTTCAGTGCAGTCCTAAACAGAACGGTACCCTTGTAAGCCCGTTGATCTCAGTGAACTCAGAAGAGCGAAGTTCTGCTTAGGGCTGCCCTTAGTCATGCTAATGTTTCAGTCTGAATGGGCCACCAGTAGCTTGCCAGCCGGGTCATGCTGCTGCAACCTCAGCATGTGGTGTGGACTCAGAGCATTTGCACACTGCAGATTAGTGGCTTCTTTCCACTGCCTTCCTGCAGTCTCACAGGACTGGTGGGAGTGCGAATTGTGATCTTGGCCAGGATAGTTATGTATGATCCTCCTGCTGAGGGCTGGTGCCCTGAAAGTGAGGAAGGATATTTTGGCTCTCTGTATGCTGGAACCACCTCATTCAGCTCCACCTTTTTGTGATGCAGCAGCCTGGTATTGCTAGAGTGTACACCCAGGGAGGATCACAGGAAACCAGCCACCACACCTTAGAAAGTGAGTGTGGCAACAGGGCAAAACCCAGGGGAGTGGCCATGTCAGAGTTTGCAAAGAAGAATTCTTATTTGAAGGTGATATGGTTGGGGGGGGACCCATCTAATTCTTGGGGGTGGCAGTGGGGGTTAGCTGGGTTAGTCCCCAATCAAAAATGAAGTCTTCTGGCACTTTTAAGGCAAATATGTACTTGGGCGGAAATGTTTGTAATCTAGAGCCTACTTCACTGGATGTGTGAAGTGAAAATTCAGCCAGCATGTAGATATAAATACCCACAAACACACACACAAAAAAACAAAGTGGTGATCAAAATTGGCTTGCATCCACTGATGATTTTAGCAGGTGGATGGGATTTCCTTCTATGGAGTGCATCTTTCTCACCTCTCCCCTTCTGCTGCTACAACCTTAAAATTCTACTGCCATTCCCAAGGAACCTGCAGGAGCAGCTTGAGAGGGGAGGTGGTCTGCAGTATGAGGGGTGAATCAATTCAGTTTGGTTCCTTTCCATCCATGGAAATCCTCTGTTGGATACAAGCCAACCCCACCCCCCTCAGGTTCAAAGGCCATGAAATGCAAAGGGTCCATTCTGTGACATTTCGATGCAAAATGCAGAAGTACAGAGACTGTTCACAATAGCAACGATTGTTAAAAGTCTTTTAAATATTAAAAACCTTGATTTCGCCTCTTTGCATAGTTTTGTTTGATTACAGGAGGGAAGGGGGTGTTTGAGTCCTTCTTCTGCATTTTCTCCCTTATCTGGCCCGTCATGAGAATGTGACCTTCAGTTCTTGTTGGGAACTAGAGAGGAAGTGGGGGGAGGCTTTATCTGGGCAATCGGTTCACCCCCAACATCTGTCCTGATCTGTTTCTACCCTATGGGACTGTTCTTTATCTCCTCAGCCCTTTATCTTCTTAATAGTCTAACAAAGGCCATAAGCTTAGCTCTGAGAAGGAATGGTTCACTGTTGGTCCTAAGGAGTGATCTTTGAAGAACGAATCATGAGTGTTTGAAGCAAAGATGTCGGAGCAAAGAGAAGGAGTTGTTCTTCCTTTAGCTTCTGAGCCGCCATGTTTCCTTCCACCTGGGGGACAATACTGGGCTTAAAAAAAGAAGTGTAGCTGTCCTGCATACTTCCAGCCTCTCCCCTAGCCTTGTTGCAGGAATCCATTCCGCCTCTCCCTGGGCCCATTGCGGTATCTACATGGAGGGCTATTCTAAGACCCTGAATGATGCTTCTACAGAGCAGGGATGGGCTGACTCCAGTCCTTTGTGGCCAATCTTAGGCCCACCGTCTGGCCACGTGTACTAAATTTGCAAAGCAAGAGTATGAACTCTACATCTCTTAACTAGGGTTGCCAGCAGGCCCAGGTGAAAATGTCCTGTCCTTTCAATAGAGGCATAATGCGAGAAATGGGCAGTTAACATTTTTTTATGGCATGGAGGTAAATGATTTCACCTGATCAGTAACATCCCATCATGCCCCTATTAAAAGAGGCAAGCCTAAGCGTGACTAATGCACGTTAAGTGAACCTGAGCTGATATTCTCACACAGGGACTTAAGAAAGTTTCGTGGTAGCATCAGTCCCTGTTCCTTCTTGGAGGAACATCAGCAGATCTGCAGCCTACCTGCCACCTATTGTGGTATGAACCTGTAGACCACTAGCTCTGGTCCTCCTGACAGACCTTGCCTAATATCCTGTCACAAAGAGAGGGGAGAATAGCCTCAGTTTAGGCACAGGGTTTCTCTGTTGTTGCTTGGGAGACAGCTTCCCAGAGGAGGTAATGCAGGCACCATTGTTGCTGGGGTTTAGAAGGTACTGTAAGACTCTCCTGTTCCACAGGGCATTCTGTTGACTGTAATGGGCACATGTGGCACTGAAGTATTCATTGTGGGGCATGCAAGTATAGATTTGAGCTGTTTCTAAATTGTCTCATGCTTTATATTCTTGGTATGTTGTCCATACCTGTTGTAAGCCACCTTGGTCTCTAGGTAGGAGAAAAGCAAGGTATGAGGAAGTTCCTTTTATTTTAGGTTGTATGCTTGCACATACAGCCTATTTTTGGTGTTAATTTATGAACAGTTCCTATTATTTTTGGCACCTTATAAATAATTTTTTAAAACTGCAAGTTGAGCAATAGACTACTGGTATTCCATGATGTCATGGTTGCTGTAGAGTGTTCGAAGCACAGTGCAGATTGTTATCCTAGTAATCTTTGCAGCTACCATGTACAGTAGGCTAGTAGTGTTATGCCCATTTTACAGTGGGATTGGCTGAGGCTGAAATATCAATGAACTCTAAGCAAAATCAAGCAACCAGGAGTTGCCTGGTTTCCAGCATGGTCCCTGAGTCACTGTGCTGCAGTTTCTCTCTGTTACACAAGTTAATGAGAGAAACATTTTCATGACATCTGAGTATTGGAGGTTGACCTCCAGGCAATGTTGTTTGTGAGTGCATACTCCACCCTCTAATTAATGGCCCGATGAATGGATTAGGAGGTAATTTCCCTGAATTTCAGTTTTGACAACAATCATTGAATAAATATGCAAGGGTTAGGGTGTGTGTTTCCATGTTACGAGTTTGTACATGGGACGCAAGTGGTTTCACTAGGACAGCGAAGCTGCATGTTGCAGGGGAAGACAAAAAGGTAATATGAGAATTCAGCCTCATGACCTGCTTTCCATTTACATATCATTAAATTCCTGCAGGCCTCTATGCAATATTCTCCACAATTCCTGTGGGACTTAGTGACAAGTGAGCTTGTGCTAATTCATAGATGAGTTCTTTGGGGTGCAATTTCAAATGGTCCCAGTCAATTCTTGGTAGCCAGTGTGGTGTATTGGTTAAGAGTGTCAGCGTACAATTGTGAAACCCAGGTTGAAATCTCTACTCACATGTGCCTAACTGCACAATATAGTTTTCCTGGATATGACCTAGGGTTGCCAACTCCAGCTTGGGAGCAGTGCCTGTGGAAGGTGGAGCTTGGGGAGGGGAGGGAACTTAGTGGGATGTGAAGTCATAGAGTCCACCTTCTGAATCTCCCCTTCCCCCAAAGAAACTGATCTTTGTGGAGTAGAGATCAATTTTAATTCTGGGAGCACTCCAGGCCCCACCTGGAGTTTGGCGACCATAATACATCCCTGTGTCACGCTGGTATACATGATCTGGGAGTTCTGTGCTTCCACAGTATGGCAGGCCCAATTCTGAGTGGGCCTGTCACATGGGAGGACTAAGAACTTCCCCTTCCTCATCATTTTTCTAAACTAAAATGGCTCTGGGGAGCCACTGACTGGCTCACTGGGGAAACATAAAATGTACTGATTGACTACCCATTAGTTTCCTCAGTGGAGTAAACAACAGCTCCCCAGAGGGTTTCAGGTCAGGAAAATGGTGTGGGGAAGAAGTCTTTAAGCCCCTTCTCGCACCTCACACACCTGGGAAGCAAGGACCTCCCAGACGGCATCTGTCAACCCTGGGACATACCTGTGGGAATATATATCATATAGTTAGGACCCCGGATGTTGACTTGGTGACTTTGGAGTAGTTGTGTATCTCTCAGTCTAACCTACCTTACAGGGTTCCTGCGAGAAAAACAGAGGAGGAGAGAACCATGTACATTTGACAAGAGCTCCTTAGAGGAAGGGTGAGGTAAAAACATGTTTTTGGATGAGATGACTGATGCTCTCCCTTCCTGTGGTAAATGAAGTAAAGCGGACTTGCAACTTGTCCTTTCCATTTAAAAATCATTAACTTGTGTAGAAGGAAGGTGTTTGTGTTTGAGTCATCCATAAAATACAGTTTACGGTCAGAGCAAATTATGCAACTGTGTTTTTTTTTTAAAAAAACAAACACGATTTAATTACTTAATAACAATTATTATGTAAGGACACAGAATAGAGGCAAAGCAGTTGTCTCTGGTTTTCAGTCTGTGTTCCAAGGAACAGTGGAGCTTTCCAGAAACTTATCAAGCAGAAGAGCAAGCTAGCTGACAGCCCTGGCGGAGGCGGTTAAGTGGGGGAAATGGCATGGAAGAAAGGGCTAATCCCTCCCCAGTGGCCCTCGTCCTTTTCCCCTGTCACCCCCCCCCCAATTTGTTCTCCCCATCTGTTTTTAATTAAAATTAACAATGACTTAGTCGTGCTGAAGGCTAGTGTCCCAGGTGAGCTGACAGTGTCTTCTGGAGTCCTTTGCAATGTAAGCCGCTCAGAGACCCCCTGAAAAAGGGGGGTTCGAGCGGGATATAAAGTTGAAAGTTAAATAAATAAATAAACAAATAAATAAATAAATAAATGTGCAGAGGTTCCATTGCAGACTTGCAGGGGGTCCTCGGGAGGCAAGTTGGCATGGGAAATCTTTGGTCAAGATAAAAATGTCCGCTTGTCTGTTCTGCAACTTTAAACTTTTCCAGGTAAAGACTTCCAGTAGAATCTCTGTGTTAATCTGTTGGAGCACAAACGAAAAGGAATCTTAAAGACTAATGGATTTATTTTAATTGGGGGGGAAATACCGTAGTATGTGTTTCAAAGTTTCTAGTACGTATACAGAATCATCTTCAGTTTTACATGAGAGAGAATATACAAACTGATCATGATATTCTAATTATATAATTTATGTGCAAAATAACTACCAAAACACGATTGCCTGGCAACTGATGGGAGTCCAGGGACCGGAGACTGGGGTCGCTGTCAGTGACACTGTGATGTCACTTCCAGGTTTCCCTGGGCATCATTGCACTCTAGGAATAGCCCAAAACGCTGTAGTAAAACCATAGAATTTCTGGTGATTCCTAGAGAGGACTGACATCCCAAAAATATGCAAGATACAGGTTGTGCTCTCTTGTCTTTCATGGCCTTTTCACAATATTGTCCCTTCAGTAGGTATATACACTGACTGAAGTTTTACTTCACATATCTGGCCAAGTAGGTTCTAGCCGCCAAACCTTCTGCTGGAATAGATCTTGAAGGTGACATGATATTTTGTAGTTTCAAAGGATAGCTGTGCTGGTCTGCAGTAGAACAGGTAGCTTTGAGTCCAGTAGCGCCTTAAAGATTGATCAGTGAGATTTTTGGGGTATGATCTTTCGAGAGTCAGAGCTGCCTTCATCCAATATCTGAAAAGGGGAGCTCTGACTCTCAAAGGCTCATACCCCCCCCCCCAAAAAAAATCTTGTTGGTCTCTAAGGTGTTACTAGACTCATATCTAGCTGATTTTGTAGTTTGTACTTTAATGAGAGCACAGTGTCTGTAGCAATACTCTCCACTCTTTTCTTCCACTATAGTCGACGTCAATCTGACACCAAATTTATCCTTATCCTGGACAGAAGGTTGGCTACGTGGACATCAGTCAAAATGACCCTCCAACGAATTGCAGTAAGTCTTTCAGTAATTTCAAAATCTTGATGAGGAAGTGGCAGGTTGTAAATAGAGGGCATAGAGAAGACCCAGAGTTTGCTCCAAGGCAGGCCCGTATCCAAGATTTTTTAAATTCAGGGGGCCTTTAAATAAGTCAGGGGGCACCCCCCACGCCCCCCCCCCAAAGGGAGCACAAAAAAAATAAAAAATGGGAAGTTGGGGGGCCTGGGATGGATGGGAAGTCAGGGGTGCCTTGGCAGTAAGTCTGGGGGCCAGGCCCCGAGATGCCCCACCGTAGCCACAGGCCTGCTCCAGGGTACTAAAAGGGGCCACTAGAAAAGATCTGTCTGAGACATGGAAGATCTGCTGCCAGTATACATTCAGGACCAAGTGGGCCAGTCTGCTGACTAGAAAATAGCCCCTGTATTTGCATTTAACTGGTTCCTCAGTGGGTTGGGTTTTGTTAGGGCTGGTCATGGCAGCTGTGAGGGCCAGCAGTGATGGAGAGGCTGAATGTCTGGACAGGACTAGGGAAGCCACCAAAATGAACAGACATTTAGTTGGCCTGATCTTGTGCCGCTAGGGACAGTTTGGTCAATAGAGCACTGAAGCTTTTCATAGCATGGAGCATTGTTGTTTTCTGATGTCTGTAGATGAAGCCACTGTGGAAAGCATAGTTGCCAAGGATGGTCCAGCAGTTGGCAGTCTGGTGATATCCAAAGAATGAGTTAGGCAAAGTGCAAGCAACAGCCCTGATCCAAGCCAAAGGATCGCTCAAGAGATGTGTGTGCGTTGATTTCTGGACCCAGTTCATGGTCTGGTTCTGATCTTTCTAAAAGGCAATCTGGGATGTACCCCAAAGAACACTTTTCCCATGTGATTTCTTCTCTCATCTGCCCCTACAATCCCATATTTCTTTCACGCTGGGAAACCTCAGACTTCTTTTCTGGCTCTGTCATCCTTTCCTCTAATTTCAAATGGCAATTTATCTCTGAGGATTAAACCAGTCCTGATATCTTTATTGCTGGGATCGTTCTCCTTTCTGTAGTTTGATGCAGATTTGGTCATTCAGCTGTCACTCGCTGTATGAAGGTCTTATCACGAAGTGTTCACATATTGATACTTTTTTTGCATACATCTGAGAAAGATATGAAATGAGCTAATTATCCAGAGTCTTATTATGGTGTTTTAATGTTAATCTATGTATATTAGGGTTGTTTATATACCATCATCTGCAATACACTTTTATACTGTCTTTGGTCCTTCTCTCTTTTTTTGTGTTTTGATTCTGTACTTTCCTTTCAAAACAGTCAAAGGGCCTTTTTGTACCCTCCACCCAAAGAGGTATGCTGTACCCAACAGCCAATAGCTACCGGCCATCACGTGCTCATTTCAGCAATCATAGTTTGCCTTTCTGCTACTTCAGCCTGGAAATAAATTCATTTTGCATCTTCATAGAAGATGCATAAAATATCTTTTTTTTACTGCTCCTGTGAGTGGGAAAACAGTGACTTAAAACAGCATATTTTACCAGCCTTTGGATCTTCTGCATTCCACCTTAAAAAATGCACAGCCTACCTTGGCCACCGAGTCTCTCCTTTTCTCTCTCTCTCCACGGGTACCACAGCCAGGAGCCATTCACGCTTTTGCCAAGACCGGCTCCATGCCTGCTCTGCTGCAGCCAGCCAGACTAGGACAAGCTTATCTGTTACCCAGTTTGAGTTGAGGATTAGCGACTGTGGGAACGTGTCACAGGCTAAACACAGCCCTGTGGAAGTAATAGCAAGCAAGGAGCCCCCCCCCCCGTCCCTTTTATGTGATGCTGCTGCTGCTGTACCGATGGGAGAAGCAGCCTTGAGGGTGGCTGGCCATCCCTGGTGATTTTTAAGTGCCTCATGAGACATGGGTCGTATTTCACGGATGCCGCATTGACAGCTGGGCAAGGTAGCTGCTGGTTCCTGCGTGTGAGGGAGATGGCCGAAGCAAGTCCCCCAAGAGGCAAGATGAAATGGCGAAGGAATGCGGTAAGGGTTCCGCCTGCAGTCTTTTTTTTTTTTGCACAGCAGATTTTCAGTTCAAATGCAGCCCTGATGCATCTGCAGCAGTTTTGACGGTGCAGCGTTCTAGGACAGTCTGCTGGACGCAGCTCTGAGGAATGACAGAGAGAGAGAGAGAGAATGCCGCTTGCTTTTCATCTGGCAATTTTCTTGCATTTACCGTAATCATCTCAAGCACTTGTCAATGTGACCATCCCCAGGCTGTTATTGGCTTTCCTCAGAGCAGCACCCTGGGGAAATTGCTGTCCCTCATTTTCAGTGGATGACGTCTAAATTCCTTAGTTGTATCTCTGTCCTGTGTTGGTCATTTGTCCTTGAAGACTGAAAAAGAGGAAATGGAGCAGAAATGTTTCTTTCTTTTGGGGGCCTTCTCTTATGGAAGGAAACCAGGCCCCAAGTTGATCAAGCTACAGTCTGCTGAAAGGATGTTGCCTACATAGTCTCCAGTCATCTCTGTTTTCCAGGGATGCTCCCTAATGTTCTGGCTCCTGTACCCTAGCCATTGCCACAATCCCTCTTTTGTTTCTGTTTTGCCCTTTTGGAGGTGCCTTTGGAAACTCATCCCTTTGAAGGAAACTTTGGCAACTCATCCTGGGTCTCTAGAACTTAAATCAGGTGACTCCAGTGCACATCTGTGTTAGTGCTGTGCTTGGAGAGCATGGATCCTTCCATCCCCCCCCCCCCAAACTGCTTAGCAGTAATGAAATATCTCTGAGTCTTTGAGCAGTTTTTTATGGCAAGCAACTTTGTTGTGTAGGATCCTCCAATCTATTGCACAAATTATTGATTTTTTGAAAAACTGCTCTGGCCAGTTTATTAACTCACCCTACTAAAGAAGCCCATATGAGACAGGCTGTTGCAGAAAAGTAATAATAGGTGCAGTGAGTAGAGAATTCCCTTCCAGAAAGCGGTGTTGGGGAGTTTCTGGCGGTTATCTTTGGTGTGAACTGAAGGGCTCCAGCGCCCATGTTTTCATCAGAGAAGTGTTGGAGGGTATGCCATTGCTCTTTGTGAACCTGGTGAAAACGGAAGAAATAGGATGCATGGTTTGGTCTGTCCAGCTCTGGTTTGACCCCTCTGCTGCCAAAGGTTACTTCTACGTCAGTTTGGAATGTGAGCTCTCCATAAATGGAAGGCAACCAGTACCTTTGAGGATGTGTCCAAAAGGGAAGAGGTTTCCCATGGAATCTGTCCTCTCCTGTTGTTCTTTGAAAATTAAGTCACTAGTTCTGTCTTCAGCTTAGTTAAGAGCATAAGAAGATCCCTGCTGAATCAAACCGGTGGTCCATCTAGTCCAGCAACCTGCTTCCCTGATCCAGCAGGCTGTTAATTATGTTCAGATCCACAAAACATCTGCAAAATAGCATGTTTAGACAGATGCATTGATAGTGGTGGTTGATATTTTCTTCCTGCAGCCTTGTTGGCACTGGACTCACCCTTTTGAGAATGTAGCATCCTGGTTGAAGGAGCTAGGCCGCTCTCTTTCTTGTTTTGAACTACTTGGGAAGGCTTTCTTTAAAACACTCAGCAAATGAATAAATATGTATTTTAATCTGTTTGTGTGTTAACTGACATCAAGTTCCTTCTGACTTGCCTATGAATTAACATTCTCCAAAACATCCTGTCCTTAAGAGCCTTGCTCAAGTCTTGCAAACTGAGGGCTGTGACTTCCTTGACTGAGTCAATCTGTCTCTTGTTGGGTCTTCCTCTTTTCCTGCTGCCTTCAACTATTCCTAGCATCATTGTCTTTTCCAGTGAGTCTTGTCTTCTCATACTGTGACCAAAGTATGATGTGGTCGATTAATCTAAATCAGATGGTGTGAGGAGGGTATGTGGTTTGCACTCGAGTTGTCACTCTGGGCTTACTATACAATAAAGATATTGGTCCACATTGATATGTTTTGGAAGAATGTGGATGAGCGACTGAGCTCTGATCTGGGGAGTCCTCTGTTCAAATCTCGTCTTTGCCACAAATTCCCTAGGCAAGTTACTCTCTCCAGTTTGAGAGAGCCAGTTTGGTGTAGTGGTTAAGTGCGCGGACTCTAATCTGGGAGAACCGGGTTTGATTCCCCACTCCTCCACTTGCAGCTGCTGGATGACCTTGGGCAAGCCTTAGCTCTGATAAGAGCTGTTCTTGAAAAAAAGAGCAGTTTCTGTCAAGAGTTCTCTCAGCCCCACCCACCTCACAGTGTGCCTGTTGTGGGGAGGGGAGGGGAAGGGAAAGGAGTTTGTAAGTCACTCTGAGACACCTTCAGGTAGTAAAGAGCGGGGTATAAATCCAATCTCTTCTTCTCTCAGTACCTCAGTTGCTCATCTGCAAAATGGGCATAATAACTGCCTAACTTACAGAGCCACTGTAAGGATTATGGGAAAATAATATATGGGAAGTGATTTGAACACTGAAACTAATATATACAGATCTATTTACCTATACATTTATTTTATCTCACCTTTCCCTCAGGAAGCTTAGGGTGGCCTGCATGGCTCCCCCCCTTTTCCTTCATAACCACCCTTTGAGGTAGGTTAGGCTGAGTGCAAATGACAGGCCTCAGGTGAGGGTGAGTTGCATAGCTGAGAGTCTGACACTCTGACCTCTGCATTACTCTGGCTTTCCATAACTGCTTAGCATTAGTATTGTCTTTCAAATTTGATATCCCTAATAGTGACTTATTTCACATATCTAGATTATTCTGAAAGAGGGAAATTATTATGAGACACTTGGAAAGTACACATTATTTCAATAATTAATAGATCAAGGGAAAGCAGCAGCCAGATATCAAAGCTCCATGGGGATTCTAACAGTACCTGTTGGCTATCGTGACGGATTGCACAGAAAAGCAGGTTTTTAAAATGCTGCTTGGGACAGACAGGGGGGTTATGAGTTCCCTGGAGAGAAGAGCTTATGTGATTGCCTGCTCTACTTGCTCTCTGATTGGCCAACATCAGCTGAGAGGGGAAATA